GAAGAGGTGGAGAGATGTGATCAAAAAGGATCTAAGTGAAGTCATGGCCACAGCAGAGGACGCCCTGGACAGACTAATGTGGCGACGACTGACAAAGAACAGCGGACCCTGCGACTGCGCGGGACTAAAACGCTTAGGGAGAAGAAGAAGAAGACGTCCTTTGGTGACTTTCAAACTCTCTGCCTTCCTTGCCACAATCGTGAAGATGTTCAACGAGCCGATAGTACTCCTCGTCGATGTTTTCGATGACGGAATCCTCCCATAAGCTGACGAGGGAAGCGAAGTGGTCCCAGTTGATGACTGTCCTGGGCTTCGCTTCCTGAACTTTGCTGCTCTCTCAACACGCATCTGGAATACACAGACGAAACCGAGACGACTCGGTGAACCGTCACCCCGTGTAGCATCTTCGGAACATCACGATCAGGCAAACTGCGAATTCGAAGATGATGTGGTCCATTTCGTTATGGAACTGTCCATTACACAGGTGACACCCAAGTCCAACGACCCTGCTCATTCCATTCCATTCCGTGAGTACCGATGTGAAGTTCTTCAGCCGTTCTTCTTGGGCCAATCTTAGCGTTGAAGTCGCCGACGATGACCTTGAAGAAGGTATGATCTTCCCTGTAGAACTTCTCCAATTCCATATAGAATGCTTCGTGTTCTTCTTCGTCGTAGCTGGATGTTGGTGCGTAGGCGACGAAGATTGTCAAAGCAGGAGTTGAACCACATCTTCTCAATCTCAAACGTCCGATTCGGGTCGTAAGGCTTTCGTACGAATCGATGTTTATGGCCAAGTGCGTGTTGACGAGGACACCCACACCGCCAACGCCTCTGCTGTCGCATGTTCCAAGGAACAGTTCTTCTCCAGTATTGAAAACGGCGTGTCATGTGCGGGCGGTGCCTTCTCGTCTCGGTCAGTCCGATGACGTCGTACTTGATCTTCCTGGCCTGCATCATCAGATCTTCGATGTGAGCTTCGGATGCAAGCGTTCGTGCGTTGAAAGTACAGATCGCCATCTTAGTCCTTCTTCGTTTAGGCGCGCCTAATCCGGGCATGAGATTCTAGCAGCCTCTCCCGAGCGGTCCTACCCAACGCTGCCGTATTGGGGGCTCCCTCAGGTTCAGGGGAATGAGGCCCATCCATATTGCTGTTTTCGGCATATTGAAGGCACACGAGTAGCTTGCCAGGCTCTGTCGTGCGGGCTAGGATAGACCTCCAGGTAGTTAGCCACGCTATCCTGGAGCGGAACAAAGGGTTAAAGAACACGTTAGACGTGTGAATGCTGAAAGCTATGGTACGTATACCATCGAAACCAAGTCTGAGTCTTGGAAGAAATGGTCCCACCCGGTAGCGCAACTGGTAGCGCCACCGCACTTAGCCCGGAAAAAGCGAGAGGTAATGAAATGGGTACTAAAGTCCCAGGCCACGGGCACGAAGAAAATTTTGTCTCAGCTCAACCCACCATGCATTCTAATAGTGATACAAAAAGGGTTACGGCTAAAATTAGAGAAACGGAGCTAACGAAGAATAGCCCTCAAACTAAGTGTACTTCCCAGTCACTTGAATGCAAGCTTTTGGCTGTGCCTACATGCAGGATACCAACCGCACACACACAGAGCGCACCACACACGCAAGCATGCATGGATGCGCCTGAGTGGAGACAGCTGGTATGAATCAACACAGCACTGCAGAAACAGGGAGTCCATCCCCTGAATCCACCTGCGTCTCAGGGCAAGTACATGGTGGCTTTTGGTCCGCGATTTACCCCCTATCCGCCACCTGGGGTCGCGCCACGTAGCCTCGCCACCAACCGGCTAGAGATCTTTCAGTGAAAGAGATCCGTTGAATGAATAGGATATGTAGAAATATTGTCGTCCATATTTTTATGCGTCACTACATATAACTATGAAAGCTCCCATAAGGAAATGCTTCTTTCAGGATGGCTTGTCAAACTTCTCCAATATTTCTCTTAATCGCTTCATGAAATCAACAGTACTGGGAACCATCAAGAAGATCAATACTGGCTACCTAACCATTGTGAAAAGGCTAGGTTTGAACACAAAACTAAAACTCGGTTTTTAATCGTACATTCATTATGATTAATATTTAATCAAATCGTCATCGCCGAAACCCTATCGTGACTTTCTTTCGATACTACTCGCCGTAAGTCTAGAGTTTCACGCAGCGAGACAGTGGAGCAATTCCTTCTGGGTCGAACCTGAAACAAAAATTCATTTCACTTTACCTAGCGACGCCAGTATAAATGATAAGCACGGTAAGTTTCATTGATAAGCGTTTATTCTTCCGTGACCACGAAAGACATTGCGAAAATATTACTAGGCTTTTCATTGTCACCGAGGCCCAGTTCGATCAGACGTGGTGACTCAGTAAGGGACCGTAGCACCTACAATCTCGTACACAAAGTATCGATGAGACACCGATCAATTGCGCTCGACAGCAATGACAGCGGTTAGTTCATTGAGTACTGAACGTTATGATGCATTCAAGTTGAAAGTTCACTTGCGAGAAGAGCTCGACGAAATAATATAAACGGATGTGCACTAGTTTGAAAAAGGAGCGGCATGAAAATTAAAGGAAAAGTTCGGGCTCAGACCCACTTAATGAGCCTTTACGGTGGCTAGAAGCGCTAGGTACGCAAGTGTAGGGGTCGCGTCACTTCCCTACTTCGAAAACCGTTATTTAGACGCTAGGCGCTAAGAACTTTGACACGCTCCACCTGCTGCGACACGCTCCGCCCACCGCTCGATATCTTGACTGCGTCGGAATGTTGATCTGCTATGCTCTCTCTACTTAGACTTCTCTAGCGCTCTCCGCGCTCACATTATCTCTCATCTCCCTGCCGGCCTTTTGAACTTCTCCGTAGAGGAAATGGCTCGTATTTCCTAAGCATTTCACGATTTCTCTTTCCTCTTTTCTGCACTGGCGGTCCACTACCTACCCCTTCTTTTACATTTAAGTGGAATTAACTCATAATTCAATCCTGAATCTTGCCTTTAAATGGGATTATGTGAAGTGGAACATTTCTACCGAGAATTCTTTCTTTTGGAAGTTATGAGTGACCAACATTCAGAATAAAGCGACATAAAACGCACAGCCGGCGCCAAGATTACTTGTGAAAGTGTAAATACGCTGTGGAAAAGGTATAAATTATTGGATTAGGATAGTCTGTAGGATTGATGTTGGTACTACTGGATGGCCAATTTTATGCGAGCGAGCCCCGAGCGAGTCTAAGAGCGTTTCGTGGTATCACCATTTGATTATATACATATTCAATCAATGATATCTGTTTGGGCCAGGGTCAACCGTCACGTTAGACCGACTTGCGAAATTATACGACCCCCCTCTTAAAGAGTCTCGATATGACATCCCCTCAGCACTTATTGTGCACATTGCCAAGGAAAAGACAACTAGATTCGAACACAAGTGGCAGATGATCTCCAGTAATTACCTGACAAATGAAAAGCTTTCATTGTAGCTGAACAGGAATGGTCTAGTTTATACGGCGTTTTGCACGGGAAAAATTGTAAGTTTTCATGGCTTGGTCTTCAGAATCACAAAAAATAAGGTGAAACTTGAGTTCGTGGGGGACACGCGATGGCGCGGCGCTGTCGTCTGCTCTACCAAATCTCAGTCACCGGTGGCGCGTATTTTGAAACTGCCACATAGTGGCGAAAGAGTGGCTGTCCCTGTGGACGAAGCCTTGAAGGAGCGGACGAAGAGAGCACCGCACTATCGCGTGCCCCTCCCCTTGAACCCGAGTTTCACCGAAAAATAATTCCATTTGGATACACAAGCGTACACAAACGACACATCACACTGAAATATTCACACTGATCCTTCGAACTTGCTGGACGACCCGTGCATAAGCGCAGTAATTTAAAGCGAAACCATCACCAAAGATTATCTACACACCTGCTGAAACGTCCGATTTGAGCGCGGTAAGGTCGCCTTTGCATTGGAGCACGCAATCTTCTCCTCAGCCTAGCGCCGATAGACCGACGCGGAATACCAATTTTCAAATGTAATTCTGTACAAACTTCAGAAATTTCCTTTCAGAACTCCCTATAGTAGATGTTTTGGTATTTTCAAGCAGCTGGCCAGCTTCCCCGAACGCCGCCCTGCCCCACCTTTGTTGGCAGCTATCTCCCGTCTCCAAAAACTTGCCCTTAGTTATGGTAGAAAAGACAAAAGAATTAACCACAACATGCGCAACTTCTTCATTTGAACGGTTGATAAATTTATTTCATAAATTAAAAGTGGAGAAAGTCATAGACAATTTTTAAACTCCAAACATAGTTTTACTTTTCTTCAGAATCTCAAACTTACGCATAAGTCTTTCTGTACACAAATTCCAAAACAAACACACACGTTTGAAACCACCGTTTTTCTCTTTCTTGAACAGGATTTTGCTTCAAATGACTCTAAAATCTTCTCTTCACAAACACGTAAAACCTCCATACAACACAATTCACAAGAAACAACACCTATTAGCACATTCTTCGTCGCATCCACAAAAAAAAACTGGGCGAATAAACTCACGCAAGGTTAGAGGTTTCATAAACGGTGTTTTAAACTCTTTCCAAATTGATAAGATAATAACGATAAAAGCATCACCGTTGGTCAAGTCACGTTTCTTGGGATGGCGGAACACATTAAACACACTTACGCATAATTGTACATTCGCAGTGGCATTTGAATGCGATGTGGCCTATACAATGACTTGCGGGGGCCAGCCGATGTTCAAGTCAGTGTTTTTATCCTCCCAGACAAGTCTGGTACCAACTAACCGACCCGGAGGGATGGAAGGCTTGGTTGGCCCACGCATGCGCTCCCACCGGACGCACAAGCATTTGATCCCTGAACTGATCGCGTTTGTAAGACAAAGCTACGCACAACCTTGCTACTCAACACCACAACCTCCACTATCCGACTGCCACCACACAAATTGCATCGGATGCAAAAACCAGTCCGTACGAAAAACTGCCGTTGGCAACCCCGTTAGTGAGACCCTATTTTTCAACAAGAAAGCCGCTGGTATTTTTCTGGCTTCTTTGAAATGTTAGTATACTACTCTCAGAATTCCACTTTTTGGCAGTTTCTTGTCTCCTGAAAGAAACCCAGAAGGGTAGTGCTCTCTCTGAAATTAACTGATCGTTCCACCCAAAAATGTCCCGTTCGAAAAAGTCGTATCCCCGTTGTTCATTTTTTTCCATGAATTCTTCTTGGAGCTACTACTCTCCTGAAAAGGCGAGTTTTCAATACCCAAGCTCACAGCTGTCTTCAAACTCGTTTTTGTGGAAATGATGATACCAAGAATCGCCCAAGCTTTGTGCTTCATAACAGATACTGTACCCTTTTCTGGAAGTCATAGTCAGTTAAATATTTTTTTTTGCAAATTTTTCTTGTAAGTAGGCGTAAGCCCTTAATAGCCGATCTACCTCAGGGGTTATTTTTTTTTTACTAAGTCCAGGGTCCTAGTTTGACAGATCTGGTTCCCTCTCGAGATAATATTTATGCCAACTGAACAGTCACAAGTTTCTTCATCGTGTACGGCCCAAATTCGTTTCGTGTTATTTTTGGGCCAGACATTAACAATCTCAAAAACTCTTGTTTCCCTATCTGATTGCCGACCTCACTGGATTCTCAGGCGGTCCTCACGCCTTTATGTTCACATGTTACTCTGTTCGTCTGGAATCCTGATCTGACAAGGGGAAGTCCTCTGGGTGTACGCGCGCTTTCTCAAAATGGTTCTTGCATGATGTAGTGGGATGTGCGTGGATTACAGAACTGTAGTCCATTTCCACTAAGTATCTCTCTGAAAAAAAAAGGTGTCAAAAAAGGTGAGCAAATGGTCCTTGGTTCGATTCTTCGCGGCCACATATTTTTTTGCATTGTGAGACGCAACAAAATTTGAACCAAGTTCATCAACTCCAGGAATTCATGTCGTACTTATAATCAGGCTCAAAAGTTTTAAAAGTAAGCGTATACCGGAAACTGGTGGGAGGAAGTCGTGACGAAAGAACGGCACCAACGTGCCATCGGCCCACGCTACATAGGAGAACCCCAATGATGTGGAGCGTGAAAAATGAATGTACGTATTCGTTAATCAAGCGAACACCTGATACTTTGTAATCCGAAGCTTTCGCAAGAAATCAACTGACCGAAAAATTCGAAAAACCTTTGGCCGTAAACGATAACTCTGCGTAACCGGTCAGGCTCGACTAGCGACTCATATTCCCCGGAAACATGAAACCTAACTCTAGATCCTCAATGAAGAATGCGAACAATGAATTCCTCCAAACGCGAACAGAATAGTAAGAGCCACCACCACAAAGCTGAGAGACATGCCCGCACATGCCAGTACCCTTTCTGCTCAGTCCTAAGCTCCACCAAATGAGCTTGCGCCCCCAAGCGACTACGAAAAAAGGGAAATATTAGGTGTTTCAGAAAGTTCTGTCGTTTTCCAGCCCCTAATTTTAAATGCACGTATCTCGGCTTGGGCTAAACCTTTCGAGTTGATTAAAAAACCATTTGAAAGCGCGAATCTTGTTCTATAAGAAACCGTTCAACAGGGTACGTTTATTTGGAATGCTGGACCTCTGGAGGCGATGAACTGAGGGAAGGTCGTTTTAGCATCATGTTGGTTTTTGATGTATTTCTCTTCAAGGAAGCTATCGAGATCGTCAGAAGTTTGACAGTAGATAGTTCAAGGGTCTACTAAGTAAGATGTTCGCAGAACCACTCTGAAGTTCAGCTGGTACAACTTGTGAAGGGTTGGCCGTGCGATGTGCGTTCAAGACACCTTTCAGGGATGTGTGTGTTCCTTTATAATGAGGAATGCTGGACCCATGTCCTAGAGTTTTTGATGATTTTTGAATTAGTATAAAGATTGATTCTCCACTGTAACAGTTCCATCTGATACTGAAGAACATGGCCAGCCGCTGGCCCCATGAAAGCTGCCACAACCCTCCTCCTCCAGCACAGTTTAAATTCTGCAAAGTTTGTAGAGCTTCATCGCCGTCGATCTATTCAGCAAACTTCGTAGACTATAGAGAAGAATCCGCTCTTTATTGTACGTCGCAAATCTGTAGAGAAACGAGTCGCTTTCACCACATAAAACCAGCGACAATTTGATGGACGATGCTTCAAATTGGTGATTTGTCGCGGCACGCCACCTATCGAATTTTTTGGACTTTCCAGCTTCTTCCGTATAGCTTGGCTGTACAAACCATATACGCCCAGGTTGGGCAGAAACCTCCTCTATGGTCTTACGCACAAGTGCTTCAATCAGAACTTTTGGCTAATCGGAGACACCGTCCGATGTCCGACCACTACTCTCATCATATTCAAGGCTCTCGCCTTCCTTACAATAAATTTTTTAACTACTGCTTCTGAGCACATTTATTGCAAATCTAGGCCCAAAGCATCGTTGATATCTTGAACTGATCCCGCCACTTTCAGGTCTATTTAAAGCTAGAAAAAGAAAGTCATGCCAGCTTGCTCCTCGAGTATACTGAATTCAAAGCTTTGAAAAAGCTATAAGAAAATATTTTAGGATAAAGTTGTGCTGAGCATTGGAGAGAGCTGAAAAAGTTCTTCATAATGACATCAACATCAATTGC